CATACGTACTTCCACCAAGGTCAAACATCAATGAATAATTAATCTACCGCAAAAAATGGATTTGAACAACATCGAGTGATCGTTCCTGATTTTGCAATTGATTTAACACCAAGCATCGCAGTCGCAAACAGCATAACCTACACCAAAAGTTCATAACCAATCACTGAATATCCTTTTCACATATTCTTCTAATAAATAACGTACATTTTCAATCTTAACCGTTCTATATACTCCTCACATAGTAACTTCTACACAACAACTTTCGGGTATTTGAACTTACCAGTTATCAATTTTGCACGAGGTCGAAAGCATTGCAAGTCTCCTCTGGTTAAGATGTGTTAGACACTCCCACAAGGCTCTATATACAAAAACAAAATTCCTCATAAATTCATCATAAAAACATTATTAATAATTTTTGAATTTTGGTTCTATTGAGTTGATAACTACACATCACCATCATGCACAAGTGATGAAGTGCAGTGGTGTAAACACTTCTAAATCAATGTTGTCCTGTCTGGCAAGCTCCTCCATTCCCACATCACAAAATTGACAATAGCTAAATCATTCATTTGTCGAGTGGATGGTCCCGCACGTGTGTGGATGTCCCTCCATAACATCATTAGAAGATGGCATTTCATTCTGTAACTTGTTCTTCAAGACGTCTTATTTTCATTTGTAACTCATCAAGCCGTTCTGCATGCTTGTCAACTCTTCTCTCAATACTCTCTGCTCTTCCACAAGTCTAGCAAACTCTACGTTCTCATCATTTGACTCAGGATTACTTTTCCCACCATGACTTTGTGATTCCTTCATTTCATCATTTTGTAATTGCTCTTCAGACAAGTTGCATTCCCACAATATCTTCAAAAAAAATATAAATTTAACAACGCTAATAAATCATATTAATCACATAAAACACAACAAATGTAACCATTATATAAAAAAGTAAGGAATTACCTCTGTTTGTTGAAAACTTAATTTGATTTTTTTCCTTTTATCTTTAATAACAACCCAATGAAGAAATCGGGGAAAAATACATCGTCCATCAAGATGATACAACTGATGTGTTTCAACAACCCACAACTGTAAAGTTCATTACAGTAGTTATATCTCTTTCAAAAAGTACCATATTTATTTCGTAACAGTTAAATAAATGAATGTATAAACGTACCTGCAGAACTGTTGCACACCCAGCCATGTGTATAACTTCGTGGTAAGATCTGCTATGTTTTATTGCATGCCCGATTCAAACTCTACCTATCAAACCATGTACAGCATCACCCCAATTGTATATATTTAGCATATGTGTCTAGTTTACTAAAAGGGACACTGTTTATCACATTACTATTCCTAGGAAAATAAAAGGCTCCAAACCTAACAAATATACAACCTGCAAAACATGTCAACACTTCTTTTGGATTTAAATGTTTATGCTTCATCTTTTCCATTATACTTAAATTGTGAGTTCCTCAGCCTTAAAACAGTCATTGACATGCCACCGACATCTTCTCTAAATTAACACTCTCACCAACATTTGGTTAAACCTAAAAAAAAAAACACTCATTCAACTATCTAAAAGGCACAATTCTACCCTATTCCTAAACGCCGTATGAAACACGTCCCTACCTTGGATTACTCTATTAAAAGGGCTAGAAATAACATATCATCAACCATATCCACCAACCACTGAAGGTGTTGACTTTAAACGTTCGCTTTTGAAAGATGATAGGCAACGTTACTTGAAAACTATATTGGTTGTGTCCTGGACTCGAGCCTAAACTCTAAAGTGAGGCCTGCAAGTATAAATCAACACGTATGTTACTTAATTCCAATACAACATGTGCATATTTAATGGTAAATAATAAAAATACACCATACTTACCATTTCACTGTATCTTGTCCATATCACTATATCTGCAAATTAACAAAACAAAATAGTATTGATGTGTTAATATATGTATCTCACTTGACAGCACATGTTCAAATTAATAAATGTGGTTTACATACATGTATCAAACTAATGCATGCATATAAGGGAATCGTGATATTACAAATTGAAACATTGACCACTTATGTTACCAAAAATAACAATGTATGTACTATCATGATAACTACACCATAACACCCATTATTGCACTTAAAGAATGTGGACATTGATATTGTATATAAAAACTGCTACAGATGTCAAAAACCGTTACAAATCCCACATGCGACTAAAGATAACCGATAATGCAGGGCGAATATGTCATCTGATTTCGTTTGGGCGGGAAGAAAAGGTTGCCCTGCAAGCTCACTGGTTAGCCAGTTTGTGAAGGTGTGTCGTTGTTGTTCTAAGGCTCTCATGATGTCTATTGAATATACAAAACTTCTAGGCAGTACACAACAGATTTACAAATACCATGATACTTAACAACAAAACCACTTCCTGCAGTCGTACTCAACGTCATGCCATGCATAAAGGGTCTTAAAACCAACCTCAGAAGCCTCACATCCCGCATAGCAGACAAAAACAAACTCAAAAGCTAAAGAAACCACCTCCCCAATTTTAAACCGAAGGACCCCGTTATCACGCCCTAACACCCTAGGGTGTCAAAAGAACTCAAAAGATCACCTTTTACTACTCTGCTTCCTGTCGCACCACACATAAAGCTCTACATAAACACTTCCCAGAGAAAGCAACTCCAACCCCACCTCCAACAAGAAACACATCTACAACAAACAACCCACCTCACACAACCCAAAAATCAGAGATGGGTCCCCCCACAACCCCAATCAATAAACCGACCCCTTGTACCCAAAAAATTAAGTGCCACAAAAAACTCACACGCCTAAACACAGAAAAAAAAAATCAAAAACCTCTACGGTAAAATCCGAAGACGAAACGCGCGACAGAAATGGAGTTTCTTGATGGAAACGCGCGACACAAATCTGAAGACCAAACCTGGACCGTAAAATCAAACGAAAAAGGTGTCTGAAAGATGAAACTGAGAAGCACATGACAGTGGTGGAAATCGAGTTTCTTAAGAAAACTCAAATGGGGATTTCGAATTGAAACACAAACCTAGGTGTTTTTCCACTTTTACCCTCCATCACTTTGCAGTTTTTTTTTAAAAAAGCTGACGTGGACCGTGTCAAATGAATGTAAGTGACACGTAAGCGTGTCACCGTATTACTACTCAATGTAATAAGGTGTTGGAATGAGACACTTTTAGAAATGATATATTTTATAAAGAAATTAAGATGTTTTATGTAACATTCCAAAAATTATATTATGAACTACATTAATGACATCATATAACAATAAGATAGAACAAGTACTAGGAAAATAAAAGTTACTTACAGTTATCCTAAAATAACCATAAATTTAAAACTTTACAAAATATAATTAATTCAGATACAAAACATAAGAACAACGAAACAGTCCTACAAGCAATTTATTAAACCGAACGCGTCCTAAAAACGCAGAGGTTGGAGGTTCATTGCTCGGAACCGCTCCGAAACCTCTTCACACTCTGCTCACCCACGGGTAATCTTGCAAGGAAAAACCGAAAGACAAACAAGACAAAGAAGATGAACACAGGTCACCATTGGACAAAAATCTGACTTTTATGCTAATCTGCACCTGTCTGAGGCTTGTGCAGGTGTTCCAGTGGTGGGAGATGGTGGATGGTGGATGGTGATGTGAGACCAAGGAGGGTGGGGAGACCCCTCATGAGTTGGAGGAGCAAGGTGTGCAAGGAATCAGTGAGACTTCTGAAAAATGGGGCTGGTAATCGTTTACAGGACCCCTGTAAACGATTACCCGAGAGAAATTGCGAATTTGTACAGAAAGTCCAACACAGGTACTTAGTCAGATGAACACAGGTCACCATTGGACAAAAATCTGACTTTTATGCTAATCTGCACCTGTCTGAGGCTTGTGCAGGTGTTCCAGTGGTGGGAGATGGTGGATGGTGGATGGTGATGTGAGACCATTGGACAAAAAAACTGACTTTTAGGCACCATTTTGTATGACATAATTAAATTCATTATAACACACCATTAATAGAGATTCAGTTACACAACATACACAACAAAATGATACATTGTACGTTTCAAATATTACAGTTATCCATGAAATAGTGTTAAAAGAGTGTTAAAAATGTGTTGTTGGAATATCGCGGTCCTTCAGTAAATAACCGAATAAAGTTGTCCATATATCCAGTTACTGCATCAAAGATGTCCATATATCCAGTTAACCAGTAATATTGTTGTACAAAATAAAACTAAGAAATAACCACAAAGGTCTAACAACATAACCATTTATTGTAACCAAATCAGCGCCTATGCATGTAGTGAACGAGCGCTCTGTACACGTGACCGAGCGTTCGTTCTGTACAGCTGACCGAGCGTCTAGCGTTGTCACCCATTTATTGTAACCAAATCAGCGCCTATGCATTTAGTGAACGACCGCTCTCTACACGTGACCGAGCGTTCGTTCTGTACAGCTGACCGAGCGTCCAGCGTTTTCGCACATCACCCTGTCGCCCACGACGGTCGTCACATAGCGACCGCACGAACATTTCATAGCAAGCTGACGCTCGTCGCCCCCTGCACGCACAAGAGGACGGTCGTCCACAGAAGATCAAGTCCACGCTCGATCTGTTAGTGGACGCTCGTCCATACGTGAGTCGCTGGCACATGGACGGTCGTTTAAAGGTCGTGCAGACGCTGGACCGGATGGACGCTCGTCCAGACGCTCATCCAGAAGGACGGTCGTCCACATGTGGACGGTCGTCGAGACGCTCATCCAGAAGGACGCTCGTCCAGAAGATCGTAGAGAAGTGGAGGCTCGTCCATAAAATTGGACGCTCCTCCAGAAAATTTGTACAAAACCATATTGCATAAATAACCACTTGTATTGTTGTAGAAAACCAATTCAATAAATAACCGAATAAAGTTGTCCATAAAGTTAAACACTTTTAATTTTCACGAAATGAACTTCATATAAAACTTATAACTTAACGAACATTACATAAGCACTTAATGCAACAACAAATTGATGAACATAAGTTAAGTAGTTCACAAATTTTTCTAAATAACACATCCATGTGACCACGCACAATATTCGACAACAAACAACAACGATAAATCTTAAATACAGTCAACGAAATTATGAAAGTTTTAACATAGGCCATTTATATTGTTCTTCTTTCATCCAGTGCCTTGAGGTTTGTGAAGAGGTGGAATCAATTTCGATAGAATGTCATCAACGGAGCGTGTTGGAGGCTTGTTGGTATCAATTGGTATTGATAGACGTACTAGGTCATCAGTTGGGCCCCCAATATCACTTCCAAAAACCTGCACAATCCGAGAGTATCATTTAAAGTCATAGAAAAGTTTACAACATATGTAATAGTACAATAGAAAATTGTTCACCAAAATCTTTACCTTGACAATATTCCTCAGAGTTATGTTAAGATAGTATGTTTCACGTATTGGTGAAAAAATTGAAACCTGTAGAAATATTATTGGTGGAATCCATATTTTTATGTGGGAATATAAGGTCAATAGCTAAGTGTTTATGAAAATGAAATATACTTACATCTTGTAGGATTATCACACTTCCAACTTTTAAGTGTATGCCTATTTCAGGATGATCAATGGCCTTGTGGTGAACACTTGCTTTTACAGTCCCTTTTGGATCCTGTTAAGAAAGAGGTTCATTTATCAGAATTATATTTGAAGCTGGTCGTCAAAGTAAATATACATCAACCTACCCGAATTGTTATTTTCATGTCACCCAATCCGTTATGTTCACAAGCTTTAACAATACATCGCAACAACGATAACTTACAAGTTCCTCTCAATGAATCAAGGGTTGAGATATGCTCAACCTCATGTTTAATCAACAATCCTGCACATGAAATAACTATTTCGATAATCTTCCTAAAATAGAAAATTACAAAAAATCTATGAACATCAACTCCCAATTAGGTTTTTACCGTGGATGTCAATGAATTTTTCAGCCCATAACCATGCATTGCAAGTGAAGTCACGATCAAAACTAGCTTTAGCTATGTCACTCAAAAATTCTTGTGTTGGAATGTTTTCATTCACTTGTCGGTTAAGCATAGCTGCCTCAATGACACCAGCAGGGCCCGGGATGACAGTGTCATTAGAATTGCAACGACGAATAAAACTATCAAGATCACTTTCATCAATATCAAGTTCTTCCCATGGCTCCATTGCTCTCGGTTGCTGTTCACACAAAAAAAATGTACAAAAAATATGAAGTTCACATAACTAGAACGATGTATTCCCTAAATCGTATGAAGTGTGCATGAGAAAAACACAAAATTTCAGAGGATGTATGCAGCAAAAGTAACCCAAACAATGGGGGAAATTTCAAAATCGGGGGGACAATAACGAAGGTCGGTGTTGTTCTTCTCAAAATTAAAAAAATTAAGAGGATGTGGCAATAAGCAAATATAATCCAGAACCAAACAATTAATTGGGGGTGACGAAAATGAAGCATTAAAATTGGGCATACCAGCAAGGAAGCGCAGATATTGTGCCGTTGCAGTGAAATGTTTCGTATTCCTATCCAACCAGAGGTTTTAATAAGACAATTCTGCAATTACATAAATGCCCTTAAGAAACATTAAATGTGATTGCTTGTCATAGAAGTCATGCAATCACTGTCTATTTAATGTCTCTGCCAAAACTTAATGACCCACACACTTTTCTGGTTTTATGATTGAAATAAAAGGTAGAGACAATGTTGTTCCCAACAAAATGAAGTTGAAACCCAACCATAAACCCTAATATTGGTAGCAGACGAGATGACCGAATGGGGAGAGCTGAGACTCATTTATTGAAGTGCATTAATCTCAACAACCATTGCAGTTTTATTGAATAGGTAAGTTATTACAACTTTCCATTCAAAGTAAGAAACATTTACAGCTGGCCAGAAGGTTGTTCACTGCCTTTATTGTTGGGAAATGATCTTTGTCATCTTCTTTGTGTTTGTTATATTGTTCTTAGTGTCATCTTTGAATTTATACCCCCTTTGAATGCATACACATGGTACAATGGTGTGTAATGTTCGGTGTGACAGAAAGCATTGCATAGTGGACGTTTGAAAAGATTTAACGTTACAGTAAATGGTTGTTTCCTCATTGGTACGTGGTTATTTGTTAAACTGGTTATGGACATATAGAAAAGTACTAACTTAAATTAATGAAGGACGATATTAATTAGTCCAATAATGAACAATAAAAGGTTAACTGAATGAATGTGCTTAAACAAAGTCCATGGACATTATACATGCATATTTGGATGATAATGACATTGGTGATCAACATTTAAATACCTTTTTCGATGAAGTTGACATTGATGACCAACATTTATTGCTGCAGTAAGTGGTTATTTGTTCATTGATATGTGAATATTTATTTAAATGGTTATGGACATATAAAAAATTCATTTTCTTCAATATGAAGAACCATACTAATTAGTGCAGTGAGTAGTAATCATTTTTTTATTAATTAAATGTAGGAAAATCAGGTACATGGATCATACAAATACATTTTTGGATGATATTTAAATTGATGATCAACATGAAAAATTACAAGAAGAATTAAATGAATACAATGTTCAACCTCTCTCAATCGCTCCAACAATTGGAATGGTTTTTGAAACTGTTAATGAAGTTAAGTTATTTTATAGACAATATGCAATATCAAAGGGTTTTGGAATTCGTACAAGGAGTTCAAGGAAGAACAACAAGAACGAATTATGTTACTTCATGATGGTGTGCTCTAGGGCTGGGAAATATGTCTCCGCCATTCAAAATCAAATGATTGGACGTCCAACATGTGCTAATGACTGTTCAGCTCGAATGATTGTATCAAAAAGAGATGATAAATGGTACATTTCAGGATTTGATGATGTACATACTCATGATCTTAGTCCAACAAAGTCCAGATTGTTCCGAGGCAATAAAAGAATGAATCTCAACGTCAAAAGAACTCT